ACCCTCTTAGGAGTCCAGATGACAGGGTGGGTTCATGATTAATCACAGCCTCACAAATAGATGGGAGTTAAGGCCTAGTCTCTTGTCCTATATCGTGTGGATGGATGGCTGCCTGCCTGTGGGATGAGGTAGGGACATGTGGCTCTTCTAGGAAGCCTCTTGGTAGCAGGCAATGAAGGATGGTGGTCAGCATTTGGAAAAGGTGGACACAGGCATTCTAAGTTTTTTCTGTCCCACCTCAACCAAAGTCAAGCATCCTGGCAGGAGGAGGAGGAGGAGAAGAAGGAGGGAAGGATGAAGAGGAAGAGGAAGAGGAGGAGGATGGAACTTATCCTCTCTGTCTCCCAGGTTTCAGCGCCAGATGTAGGGAATGAACAAATGAGGTGGGGCAGAGACCACTTGACAGGCTTTTGTGGAAGCAACAAGGCCTACAGTTTAATACCTGGGTGCAGGCAGACAGGGCAATAAGCTCATCTGTAGGGAACAAAGAGAAGTGGGCCTTTTTAAAAATAGGGATTGAAAGAAGGCAAGGGACATTAGGAAGGAAGATGTTAATAAACATCAGTGGTTTTTATGGTTTGTGTCTGGGTGTCCCCTAAAGCCTCATGTGGTCATGGGGGTGGGATTTTTAGAGGTGGTGAAATCTAGAGGTTTTTTTTTTTTTTTTTTTTCCCCAGTACCGGGGATCGAACTCATGACCTTGTGCTTGTCGGGCAGGTGCTGTGCTACTGAACCAAATCCCCAGCCCCTAGAGTTTGTGATTGGTTCATTATCTAGTGCTGGGATTGGGAATGTGAGTGCTATACCTGCCGTATGGTAGGTAGCTTACATACAGTATAAAGGTGGAAAAGAAGCTTGCTCCTCCCTTTTGCTCTTGTTGCTTTTGCTGTCTTCTGCCACCATGCACTTTGCCCTCTGCCATGCCACCCTGCCTTGGCGCCAGCTGATTTTTTTTTTTTTTTTTGGTTTTTCTCCCGTACCAGGAACCGAACTCACAACGTTGTGCTTGCCAGGCAGGCACTTTGCCGCTGAGCTAAATCCCCAGCCCCCTACACCAGCTGATTATGGACTGAAATCTCTGTCAGCTGTAAGCTAAATGAAACTTTCCTCCTTTAACTTGTGGGTATTTCGTCTCAGTGATGAGAGCAAAGGTAACTAACACAGTGATTAAAGTTCTCTGGCCATCTTGCACCTCAGTGGGTAAAGCACTTGAGGTATCTCATGTAAATTTTCACATGTCTCTAGATGTCCAAGGACCTGCAAGATTCCATGCCCCAACCTCTGTACCTCTTTTCCCCACTGGAGTATGATAGGCTGCAAGGGCAACTTTCTGACATCTTCGCCCGGCTGTAGAAGAAAAGCAGGAGCTCAGGAGTGGTCAGGCTGACAAATTCTCCTCTAAGCTTAGGTTCCTGGGCAGGGCTCCTGGCTCCCAAGCCTGTGGCTCTTCTTGCCTTTGCCACGTTCCCTGCATACCTTCAGTATCTGTTCTGCCCTGGCACTAGCCGTAGAGAGGCCTGCTGACCCGAGGTGCATGAGGTGCTAGCAGGGACAATGCACCAGGTCCCTTGCTAGGCACCTGTGCAGGGGTTGGCTGGTCCGGGCAGTGGAGAGGCCCTGGAGTATTCAGGAGCCTGTACTGCAGGGCCAGGCAGGACCCGTGGGTTCTCCTGCTAGGCCTGCTGCCCTCTCCCGTGTGCCTCTGCTGAACACATGGTGATTTCTAGGCAGGCAAAAGGAGCAGTAATAAAGAGAGGCCAGGGGTGACTAGAAGAAAGGGGAAGTTGGGCTGGGGCTGAGCTAGTGCACAGGTGTGGGATTTGGGGACAGGGCAGGGAGGGGACTTCTAGGAGGTCTGAGGCTGTCCACAGCCCAGCCTGTGGGTGGGCTAAGTGGACGGAGGGGCTGCTCATTCCTGGTAGCTCACTCCCCCTACCAACTTGCAGGAATCCCAGTTATACTTTGAATCTGAGATGTCCCTTAAAGATCCATGTGCCTTTAGTCCCCAGTTTGGAGCTGCTGGGAAGTGGTAGAAACTCTAGAGGTGAGTCTGCTAGTTCCTGAGGACAGGCTGTTGAAGGGACAATGTGACTCGCATCTTTCTCTTTCAGTCCTAGCCAGGAGGTGAACGGGGTACCTTGTTCATGTGCTCCCACCCTCATCTCCTGCCTCACCGCAGGCCCAAAAGCAACCAAGCCAACCACACATAGCCTGAATTTCCAAAACTAAAAGCCAACTTTTCTCTTTCTATGTTGATTATCCCAGGTGTTGTGTTACAGTAATGGAAAGCCATGGCTACACCCTCCTCATTTGCCTGCTGCTTCTGCAGTTCCAGCTGTGGACAGCTGTGCCCTTGACTGGCTGCTCTTCACCAGCATGGTGGTTAGTTTTAGGTTCCAGCTGAGTGGACTCCAGATACCCTCCTAGCTGGTATGAAGTGTTATTCCAGGGTGTGTCTGTGAGAGTGTTTCCAGGTGAAGTGGTTGTGAGTCACAGGACTGTGCAGGAAAGACCCACCCTCGATGTAGCTGGGAACCATCTGGTCAGCGGGGGCCCAGATAGAACAGAAAACACATAAGAAAAGCACACTTGCTCTCTCTGTCTCTCTCCTAGAGCTGCCAAGCTGGACATCAGAATTCCAGCTTCTGCAGTTTTAGACCCCAGGACTCTTATACTAGCAACCCCCAGCCTTGGACTGAAATTACACAATCAGCCTCTCTAGTTTGGGGGCTTTTTTTTCTTTTCAGTACTGAAGATTGAACTCAGGTCCTTCACACTGAGCTATATCCCCACCCCTGTTTGTTTATGACAGATTCTCACTAGATTGATAAGTTGCCCAGGCTGGCCATGAGCTTGCAATTTTCCTGCCTCAGCTTCCCAGGGTGCTGGGATTACATATGTGCAGCAACGTGTCCATTTTTGTTCTGGGACTTTTAGACTGAGCCACACTCCTGACATATCCAGCTTGCAGACAGCCTGTGGAATTTCTTTCTTTTTAAAAAATTTAGTTTAAAAAATAAAAGTAGGAAAACATATTAACAAACGGACATCCATTTATAAAATAGCATAAGAACAATACAAACTATACAGAATTACAAAGTGGTAGGAAATTAGCAATGGCTGCTGTATTACATATTGATATCTTCAAAGTGGTTTCTCAGGGAAACAAATAGAGACATGTAGGATTGACCAAACAAGTAATCATTAACTGTTCCTTTCAGTAAAACAATAGAAGACAGTAGCACAACTATGTTAACTATCCTGTATATACATACATACAAAATTTCCCTTTCTTTTCCTTCTTTTTTCCCACACTTCAGTTGTCTTTTACTTTTGAGCATTTTCTTTTCATCTCACAATATCCATCATACCTTCTAGTTTTTATTCACTCTCAGGTTCTTACACTAGTGAGACAATACATTGCTTACACATGCAGATCTGATTTATTTCACTTAACAGTATGGTCTGTACTTGTGACCATTTACCTGTAAAAGCCTTGAGTTTATCTTTCCTTATAGCTGAGTAATATTCCATTATATAAAAGTACCACAATATTTTAATCCAATCTTCAGTGGATGGACATTTGGGTTGCTTCCACAACTTAGCTATTACAAATTGCACTGCTACAAACATGGATGGACATATATCGCTGTGATATGATGTTTTCAGATCTTCTGGGAAAATACCCAGAAGGGGAATAGCCGGGTTGAATGGGACCTCTAGACCTAGTTTGCTGAGGAATCTCCAAACTGATTTCCACAGTGGTTTCCCACCAGCAGTGCAGAAGGGTTCCTGTTTCTCCATAGCCTCACCAGCATTTGTTATTGGTTGATTTCTTAATGCTAGTCATTGTTACTGGGGTGAGATGAAATCTCAATGTTGTTTCAGTTTGCATTTCTCAAATGACTACTGATGTTGAACATTTTCTCATGTATTTATTTGCCATTTGTATTTCTTTATCTGAGAAGTGTGTATTCATATCAGCTGCCCATTTTTGGATTGGGTCTTTGAATTTGGCAGTGCTGATGCTTTTAATTCTTTATATGTTCTAGATAGAAGACCTTTGTCTGAGGGACAGTCAGCTAAATTTTTTTTCCCTATTGTGGGTTTTCCTTTTACTTTGCTGGTGATTTCTTTAGATGTGCAGAAACTTTTCAGTAGGATGAGATCCCAGTTGTTGATTCTTTGAAGTATTTCATGTGCAGTTTGGTTTTCGTTCATGAACTTTCTGCCTACCCCTATGTCTTCAAGAGGTAATTTTCTTTTTAACAGGTTCTACCTACCTCATGTGATTGTTTGATAATTAAAAATAATGTGTAAACTAGGCTTGGTGGCATAAGCCTATTCCCAGTTATTCAGGAGGCTGAGGCAGGAGGACTACAAATTCAAGTGAGTGGGGGCAAAAATAAAGGAAGATAAAATGGGTTGAGAATATAGCTTAATGTTTCCTGTGTTCAATCTACAGCAGTGAAAAATAAAATAAAATAAAATGAATAAAATAAAATAAAACAGGGCTGAGTTTATATCTCCATGTGAAGGCTGTACAACCCCATGAATTCCAGTTGCAGCAGCAGCAGCAACAAAGGGCTTGCCTTTATCAGCAGATCAAAGTGCCTCTGGGACCGACCAGTGGACCTAGGCCCTGGCCCCCAAACATCTCCCTGGGGGTCAACCTGGCCAACAAATACAGACCAGAGGAAAAACAAGAGGAGAAGCAGAGACTGTTGGCCAGAGCTAAGAAGGAGGTTGCCAACAACATGGATGTTCCCATTAGGAGAGCACCTATCCACGGAGCAGGGCTTAATCCTGTCCACAGTGGAGAACAAGAAGGCTCAACGGGTGGTGACCAAACACGACATGGGTCCCCTCCACCCAGCTGTCCTACCTGACTTGTTTGGTAAGGTGGCGTCCCTTACTGTATCATCAAGGGTGAGACCAGACTGGGACAAGGTGTGCTCCACTGTGCCTTTGCACAGGTTCATCTGGAAGACAGAGGAGCTCTGGCTCAGCAGGCAGAAGCTCTCAGGACTGATTCCAGCAGTGGAAATGGTAGGATCTGCAGCCAGTGGGCAGCCAAGGCCCTGGATCTAAAATCTGTGCCTCACATTGCCAACCTGGAAAAGGTAAGAGCTAAAGCATTTGCCACTAAGCTGGGTGAAATAACACACTGTTGAGTTTTCTGTACATAGAAATAATAAACATCATCTTTAAAACATAGTCTATCATCTGAACCCATCAAAAAAACGATGTTGAATCTCTGGCCACAGTTAATTTTTTAAATACTCAGATAAATATCTCGTACTGTGCCTTCACCACACTTCTCCTCATGGGTTGACTTGCTCACCCAGGACCACCCCGAATGGCTCATGCCTCTGACCCGAGCTGCGACACCTCTGGGGGAAGTGGGGCGGGGTGTTCTCCTTTCTGGGTCACTCATGGCTGAGTTGTCTTTCTGCAGAGGTGTCCTGGGGGGTTTTAAAGTTTAGCCTCTTATTTCCACAGGAGGTCTCTTGTGTAGTCCTGATGTGAATGGCTTGGAGGTAATTTTTAGGAGCTAGGCTAAATGTACGGAGAGACCTGTTTTCACAGTGGGGTAAAAATGGTCTAATTGCTTGCTTTTTATTTTTAAAGAAAGGACAATTCCCTTTTGCTATTTTGCATAAAGTGGGTAGTTTGGGGTTCATCCATATTGATAAGTGGTAAAGGACTATTCATGTGAAACAACTGGGAAATGACTTTTGTGACCACGATAGGAAGAGACATGGTAATGTGATATTGAGCAGAGTCTGGATTTCCATTTTTTCCCAGGGTTGGTCTTTCCGTCTAGGGAGACACACAAATGAGCTCAAGAATCCTGATGAACTGTAGCATTAGTATTCTGAGGAAAACCTTGTTCTGGTGGTCTTGGAATAATGATGTGAAGAGGGATATAGAGGAAGTAATTAGAATGCAATCAAATACCAGCAGCTATGGTCTGACTTCCTGTGTGGTGGATTGAGGGGGATGCTTCAATTCTTAATACCGCCAGCAAGGAATTGCAGCACACACACATGTCAGGCACCGGTCACAGCTGGTACGCTACTGGGGGTACTTTCAGGAAGGAAAATAAAAAGATTTACAGGGAGCAGAAATAAATAAGTCACGTTTCTGTCTTGTCTGTATTGTATCAGGCTGAGAGATGATTTTTGTAAAGTAATCCATTTCACTGAGTATTTCTTATTGTCTTTGCATGCACAGAGGAAATGCTATCCATTCCCTTTAAGGTTTTATTCCATTCCTTCAAAATTGAGGATGAAAGGCCCTTTAACCCTCTGAGGCTGAACAAATGCCCCTCTCACTCTAGGGGGTTACTGTATCAAGATAGATTCTCATATGCTAATCTCAAGCCAACAGACCCAATTTGGGGTTATTTTATCCACCACCGAAGCTTGATTTTCACAGACATTGGAGAAATAGATGTTTAAGTTTCAGAATCAATTCCATTTAATATCCCACATGACATTTGAAGCTTAAGGGAATAAATGAAATTGCTCATGAAAGACATAAGCAAATGAAGGAGGAGATGATTCCACACACTTGGAGGAGGGTGATGGGGTAAACTCAGGGTTTTGCCTTATTTGCACCCCGGCACTGGGCAGTCAGCATGCTTGTGCACCAGCATTCCTTGTGACTGACTCATATTTAAATGAAGCAACAAAACCTAAGGTATTATGAGGCAACTCAGCAGGATTAAGAAAAGACCTCTCTGAAAATATACGTCCTGTCTCAGAAAATATAATCAGCACTGCAGCGATTTTCTTATCAGCTACTGAATTGATTGTACCAGTCTACTACATTTCAGGAAAACTTGTCGATCCATTGTCCAAATCGGTTCCACCCACCTGTGATTTACTGTTCTTTTCCACTTCTGTTCCACTGTGGCTTGCTGAGGGAGATTTTGGTGAGTGGAGAAAATAGAAATGTTAAGCTACTAATGTTTTGCTTTAGCTTTCAGAAGGCTAAAGATACTTTCAGATTATTTTGCATTCAGTGGTCACACTTTGGCAGAGATAAACCTAAGGACAGCTCTTTCTGGTGTCAACCTGAGCTGACTTGGCGCCTTCCTGGAGGCAGGTGTGTGACAGCGGGCTGAGTAGAGCATGCCAGAGTCTTGATTCCTGGTTCTGAGGCGATACATCATCAAAGCATAGAAGTCCACTTAGGGCTTAATGTCTCTCTGTCCAACAGGGCACTGGAGTAATCATTTTCGTGGCAAGAAATAATGGTTTACACAGGAGCAGAGCAAAAAAAAAGCAGGCCCGGTGTAAACCTCTCATGTCCTCCTGTCAGGACAACCTAAACGCCTCCCTGCCTTTTTCTCCCTCGAGCAGGGCTACTGGTTTTGGCTAAGTACAGGTGGAGCTGTTGAAGGGTGGGGGAACTGAGTGTCTTTGAAGAAGAGAGGGTTTTGAGGGGTGAGGTGAGGATACAGGGAAGCATGAATGTGGGAAAGGGATGCTGAGATGGAGAGGACAGAGCTGGTGGAGAGGCCTGCCTGGTACCATCTCGAGACAGAGACGCGACCATATGATGATCACGCCTAGGCCCTGGCTGGTCCAAAGGCACCCGGCCTGGGAAAGACCTCTCACTCTGATGCCATTGGCCATTGAATCCCTGTTTGTTCCCAGAGCATTGCTGTGGGAACCTATAAACTGGGTTTATGCGAAGCTCAGGCAAAGCGAAGACAGCTCTCTCAGAAGTGTGGAATATGGCCAGGTTCTGAGGCGCCCCTGTCCTGCTGAAGTCCCTGTTTGGGAGGTATCATCTTGTTGGAATTCTCTTACTCCATTTTCCTTTTGCACTTGTGTCATTCCATCCAAAGGAGTCATCTTGTACAATTAAGGATCATCTAGTATTTACCTCATCTTCTAGAAGAGAAAGGGACTGGGAACTACTCAGAGGTGTCTCAAACTAATCTGGGTATTTATTGGAAGATAATGAACCCAGCTAGGTCTTGACCCCGGGGGCTCTTGTGCCTGACAATACGTCCTTTACAAGAGAGCTCAGGAAGATGGGCAAGAGTACTTTTCAAGTCTCGGAGCTGGGTAGGAGGAAACGTAGGTTGGTTTGCTGCATTTGGCTCTGAGTGAAGCATCCTCAGAAAAGTGGCTTCAAGTGTGTTCTGTGTGTAATAAATGACAAGGAGTCCACATGACTCCCACTGACTGTACTGTGTCATCCGAGTCTGCAGATGGAATTCCAGAGGCAGCTGTCTTTGCACGATAGATAGTCCCAGTCCCAGGCTGGGAGGCTTACAGGGTCTGGATGAGCAAACAGCGCACAGGCGTGGCCTTGTTCTGCAGATGAAATGCAGATGGAGGTGAGAGGTTTTAGCATTAGGTAGCCTGAATGTGTGCCTATTTCTCCTTAGCTGCAGACTTCTGGAAAGCTCTCTTTCCTGACAAAGCCTCTCTGCTCCAAAATAGCAAGTATTGCCACCGGCCACGTGGCCAGCTCAGGTGCTTGTGTTATTCCTGTGGGGACTAGCTGGGAGAGGAGCCGAGGTTTCTGAACACAAAGTTGGCTCCTAAAGGGCAGAGCCTAATTATATTCAGCACAGATGGGGAAAATCCTCAAGAATGTCTACTTTTAGTGTTAAAATGGTTGAAGCAATAGTTCATTTGGTCATTTTTTGCCCAGCAGACAACAGACTAAACACTCCTAAATCAAGCAATTATTTTAATAATGATAATTATATTTTTCTTTGAGTGATTTGAAAATTCTTTTTTATTTTAAAAAATTAAAAAGACTAACAAAGCAACAATGAAGAAAAAATCAAAACAACACAAAAACAACAAAAATGATACATGACCTCAAAACAAAATGATAGGAATTAACAATGGTTGCTACATTACATACTGTTATCTTCAATGAAGTTGCTCAGTTCGCCAGACATAAGAATGTAAGATTGATCAAACAAAGGCAGTAACAAGTAATAAAAAAAATATCAGCAATATATGTGCACCCATGTTTATAGCAGTGCAATTTGTAATAGCTAAATCTTGGAAACAACCCAAATGTCCATCAACTGAGGAATGATGGTATTTTTTTTTAAAAAGTGGTATTTTTATTTTGATTTGAGTTTTTTTCTTTCCTTTTTTTGATAAGGTTAGCTAGGAGTTTATCAATTTTATTTATTTTTTCAGAGAACCAACTCTTTGATTCATTAATTCTTTGTATTGCTTTCTTTAGTTTTCAATTGCGTTAATTTCTGTTCTGATCTTTATAATTTCCTCCCTTCTTTGGGCTTTGGGATTAACTTGCTCTTCTTTTTCTAGAAGTTTGACGTGTAACATAAGGTTGTTTATTTGTGCTCGTTCTGTTTTCCTCTTGCTTTTTTCTGGGTTCCAGTCCCATGGAGTACTGTTTTCCTTCCTTTGACTTTCAGTCTATGGATTTCCTTTTGAGTTTTGCTTTTGAGCATTTCTTGTATACAGCATATTGTTGTATTTTGTTTTTGTCTCTTGATCCACTCTGCCAGTCTATTTCTTTTGATTGGTGAATTGAAGCCATTTACATTAATAGTTGTTACTGATATGTATTGACTTATCCTTGTCATGTTATTTTCCCACTCTTGGTTCTGTACATTCCCCCTCTGTTTAATTGCTTACCTTGCTGTGTAGCTCTTTTCTATAGTTGGTCTTGAAATTGTGGTCATTTTTATCTCTTTGTAGAATGTCTTTCAGTAGTCTTTGTAGGGTTGGTTTGGTGGTCATGAATTTCTTCAATTAATCTTTGTCATGGAAGTATCTTATTTCTCCATCAATTTTGAAAGATAGCTTTGCAGAGTATAGCAATCTGGGTTGGAAGTTGTTTTCTTTTATGACCTGAAATACTTCACTCCAAGCTCTTCTTGACTTGACGGTCTGTGTTATTAGATATATTATCATTATTTGCCTATGCATTACGTTTTAAAAAATTGATTCCCTGAACTCCTGTGAAATCATACCAAAATCAGAACCTAATCAACATCTTACATCAAGACCCAAGACTCTGTCTTCTTTTCTCATCCTCAGAAGCATCCATTATTTCTTTTTTTAAAAAAAATTATAACAATGCATCATTTACTTTCATTCATTTTAAA